TATCCAGCAAGGCAGTCATTCAGAGTAGAAGGAAAGATAAAGACTTTCCCAGACAAAGACTAAAGGAGTTCGTGACCACTAAACCAGCCCTGCAAGAAATATTAAAGGGTACTCTTTGAGTAGGGAAAAAAAAAAGATCAAAAGCAACAAAGACTAGAAAGGAACAGAGAACATCACCAGAAACACCAACTTTACAGGTAACACAATGGCACTAAATGCAGATCAATAATTACTCTGAATGTAAACGGACTAAATGCTTGAATCAAAAGATATAGAGTATCAGAATGAATAAAAAAAAAAAAACAAGACCCATCTATATGCTGGCTACGTTTTAGACCTCAAGACACCTGCAGATCAAAAGTGAAGGGATGGAGAACCATCATTCATGCTAACAGACGTCAAAAGAAAATCAGAGTAGCCATACTTACATCAGACAAACTAGATTTTAAAACAAAGATGTAACAAGAGATGAAGAAGGGCATTATATCATAATTAAGGGGTCTATCCATCAAGAAGATCCAATAATCGTAAAATAGTTACCACCCCCCCTCCCCCCCCCGGCCGAGGGCACCTGAGTGGCTCAGTCCTCAAGCGTCTGCCTTTGGCTCAGGTCATGATCCCAGGATCCTGGGATCAAGCCCCACATCAGGCTCCCTGCTCAGTGGGGAGTCTGCTTCTCCCTCTCCCACTCTCCCTGCTTGTGTTCCCTCTCTCGCTCTCCCTCTGTCATAAATAAATAAATAAATATCTAAAAAAAAAAATTTATGCCAACTTGGGAGCACCCAATTATATAAATCAGTGAATAACAAACATAAAGAAGCTCACTGATAATAATACAATAATACAGCAATGGACAGATCATCTAAGCAGAAGATCAACAAGGAAACAATGGCTTTGAATGACACACTGGACCAGATGGACTTAACAGATATATTCAGAATGTTTCATGCTAAAGCAGCAGAATACACATTCTTTTTGAGTGCACATGGAACATTCTCCAGAACAGATCACATACTGGGTCACAAATCAGCCCTCAACAAGTACAAAAAGATGGAAATCACACCATACATATTTTCAGACCACAACACTATGAAACTTGAAGTCAACCACAAGAAAAAATTTGGAAAGACTACAAATACATGGAGGTTAAAGAACATCCTACTAAAGAATGAATGGGTTTACCAGGAAATTAAAGAAGAAATTAAAAAATACATGGAAGCAAATGAAAATGAAAACATGGCAGTCCAAACCTTTGGGATGCAGCAAAGGTGATCCTAACAGGGAAGTATATTGCAATACAGGCCTACCTCACAAAGCAAGAAAAAAGTCTCAAATACACAACCTAACCAAGCTAGAAAACAACAGCAAATAAAGCCTAAAACCAGCAGAAGGGAAATAATAAAGATTAGAGCAGAAATAAATGATATCGAAACAAACCAAAAAACCAGTAGAAAAGATCAACGAAACTAGGAGCTGATTCTTTGAAAGAATTAATAAAATTGATAAACCCGAGCCAGACTTGCCAAAAAGAGAAAGGACTCAAATAAAATCAAAGACCCCACGAAAAAGGAGAATTACAGCCCAATATCCCTGATGAACATGGATGCAAAAATTCTCAACAAAATACTAGCAAATTGAATCCAACAGTACATTAAAAGAATCATTCACCATGATCAAATGGGATTTATTCCTGGGCTGCAGGAATAAATTTATATTCATTTATATTCATTTACATTCATCAACATGATATACCACATTAATAAAAGGATAAGAACCACATGATCCTCTCAATAGATGCAGAAAGTGTTTGACAAAATACAGCATCCATTTTTTTTTAATCAAACTCAAAACAGATTTTATACTATCTCAAGTAATAAGCAATAAAGGATGGCACCTATCATCCCGAATTAAAGATGCAAACAACCCCCACTATGAAGAGTGGCGAGTGCTTCTATAAAGCCAGTGGTAAAAAGTAATAGGGTCATCCCTTTGTTTTTTCACTCACTTCCGAGATAACAAGATTATCTTCCAAAGACCCCGGTGGTAAGTAAGTGGCAGGCAACATGCAGGAAATGATGCGGCTGAGGAGAGGGAAACTGCAGCAACAAGCAGGTGCATTTTCTGGGGGAGGATCCTTCAGTGTCCGT